AATTACCACAATTGTGAGGTATGATGATTGTTATATGTGAGTGATTTTTCTGAAACTACATTTGAGTATCACATCTGGGGAAGTGGTAATGTTCAAGGTAAGTTTCATGTCTTATTGCAGATGGAAGGGAAACTGAATGATCCTAATTTTGCTGAGTGGCCATTACTAGTTTTATCATTTAGGATTTGTGAAGGAAATAACCCATTTTTACTCATTGTGACTTTTGTTCTTAGGGAAGTAGGGAAGATTCCCCATATTCTCTGTACTTCCCTAATTTGAAGCCATTTGAGGGGCTCCATTCCCAATTCCTGGGTCAAGATGAGTTAACCCCAAGTTGGAGCACTGGAAACTTATTTACAAACAATGCCGATACCATTTAGAAGTATGTGCACTACCTAAGTTTTGTCTTTTGAGAAAAACTATCCATCCAACTATAAAAATTGCCTTGACAAAAATAGTCCTGGTTTGAGTAATTATTTTGCTTTAAGTGATGCGTGTATGCAAGATGGATCCTTGAGAGCCAACACTGCACCGTGGATACATGTCTATTGTTTATGTGCTGTTAGAACAGAAGGCGCTGTATATACAACATTGCTTAGAAACATTGCTTTAAAGCAATATTTGCAAAACATGCAAACTATTGTATCTGTATTGGAAAAAATAAAAAAAATGGGTTCTTGTTGCTATATTTCAGTCATATATTACTGAAATATAATTTTTAGTCTTTTGGGGGGGTAGGTTTTTTTGGAGGGGGATGTGGTCAGGGGAAAGTAAGTTTTTATTATGTAGCCCAAATCTTATTATGTAGCTCAAGTCTGGCCTTGAACTTAAAATGTAATACAAGGCTGAACTTGCAAAATTACAGCTCAGCTTTCTGAGTGCTGGGATTATAGTTACCATGGCCCAGGAAGTCTAAAGTTCTTTACCCAATTGTTATATTACTTGATCATTTGTAGCCATTACCTTGTAAAAGAAGCCTGCATTTTTCTTTTTATGCTGTTTCTGAGGCTTAAAGTTAGGACTATGTACTCCCATTTTTCCTTTTCTGCTTAAGGCTGGCATTCTTGACACTTGAGCTTTACCTCCACTTCTGGCTTCTTAGTAGTTAATTGAAGATTAGAGTCTATCAGGTTTTCCTGCCCAGGCTGTCTTTGAACTATGATTCTCATGTTGAAGCCTTCTGGGTAGCTAAGATTATTTGTGTGAGCTACCAGTTGCCCAGCTTGGTTTTTTTTTTTTTTGGGGGGGGGTCTGGTCGTGGGGCCTGAACTCTGGGCCTGGGCGCTGTCCCTCAGCTCTTCAGCTCAAGGCTAGCACTTTACCACTTGAGCCACAGCGCCATCCGGCTTTTTTCTTTTTGCTTATGTGGTGCTGAGGAATCGAACCCAGGGCCTCAGGCATGCAAGGCAAGTGCTCTACCACTGAGCCACCTGCCTAGCCCCTTGTTTTTCTTTTAAAAGATTTTGGAGGCAGAAACAAACTGCCAAGAAATCCTATATGCAAAATACTTTTGAATTAGTCTCATATTTCAAAGCAAAATGCCTTTCCCTAGCTTTTCAACTAGTCTGGTCTGTGAATTATGGTGAGAAGTTTCATGTTTAGTATTGGAAGCAATACAAGGAAAATAAGCCTGGCCTTTCTTAGAATTTCAGTCTTTTCATCCAGAATAATGCAAAGTAACATGGTTATTATTTTTTTTTTTGGTAGTACTGGAGATTGAACCTAGAACTTTCTGCGTGCTTCTCTGCATGACCTACCTTCCTTATATTTTACCTAAAGGTTCTGGGACCAAGCCAAGTTGGCTGTGCATCCCAACTAGCTCCTCTCTAGTCAGGCAACAGCCTCAAAGGAAAGGCCAGGCTTTCATATTTTATAGAACGTCATCATCATCACTTAGCTTCTTAATTACGTTGGTTAGAAAGTTGGGTGGGTGGCTGGGAAGGTGGCTCAGTAGTAGAGTTGTTGCCTCACTGGTTCGATTCCTCAGCACCACATAAGCAGAAAAAGCCGGAAGTGGCACAGTGGCTTGAGTGGTAGAGTGCTAGCCTTGAGCCTGTAGAGCTGAGGAACAGCGCCCAGGCCGAGTTCAGGCCCCATGACCAACCAAAAAAAAAAAATTGGGTGGGCAACAGGTGCCAGAGGCTCACACCTATAATCCTAGCTACTCAGGAGACTGAGATCTGAGGACTGCAGTTCGAAGCCAGCCCTGGCAGGAAAGTACATGAGACTCTTGTCTCCAATTAGCCACCAGAAATCTCAAAGTGGCTCAAGTGGTAGAGCACTCACATTGAGTTGAAGAGATCAGGGACTGTGCACAGGCCCAGAGTTCAAACCCCATGACTGACCAAAAAGAAAAAGAAAAAAAGAAAATTGGGTGGGTGGGGGCTGGGAATGTGGTAGAATGCTTGCCTAGAATGCATGTAGCCCTGGGTTCGATTCTTCAGTACCACACACACAGAAAAAGCTGGAAGTGTCACTGTGCCTCAAGTGGTAGAGTGGTAGCCTTGAGCAAAAGAAGCTCAGGGACAGTGCCCAGGCCTGAGTTCAAGACCCAGGACTGGCACACACACAAAAAAACAAGGAGTTGGGGGAGGGAGAGAGAAGGGTGGTACCTGTGGCTCAAGCCTACAGTCCTAATTATTCAGGAAGCCAAAATCTGAAAATCATGGTTCAAATAGAGTCCAGGAAGAATCCTAGATTATTTTCTCCCATCAACCAGCAAAACTGAATGTGTGGACTTACAAGCCAAGCAACAACTGGAGCCTGAGCTCAAAATAGCACAAATAAAGATAAATGAAAGTGTTGGGGCAGATTTGAGAGGCTGAGTTTGGAGGACCCTATCTCAAAAAACAACAAAACACAGCAGGGCAAAAGTGGCTCAAGTCTGTAATCCGAGGACTGCTATTCAAAGCCAGCCCAGGCAGGAAAGTCGGTGAGACTCAACTCCAATTAACTACCAGAAAACTGAAGTGGCGCTGTGGCTCACGTGGTAGAGCTGAAGAGCTCAGGGACAGCGCCTAGGCCCAGAGTTCAAGCCCCATGACTGACAAAAGAACAAAACGGGTTTGGGGATTTGGCTCTGGGGGAAAAAAACAAAAAACTAGGAGGCAGCTGTGAGGGAGTCCGCAGGAGACATTATTAGCAACATTATAAGTAACCCAATAGCTCACTGAACCCAGGTCCAAGCTCATCCTATCCATGGGAAAGTCAATCTGGAGATAGGTTGGAGAAAGGCTGTGTTCAGTGACCAATGAATGGAGAAGAGAGTGGTACTCACAAAGCATTTCCACTCCAGGGGTTTCAGATATAGGCTAGGAATAAGAGAAGCTAATAAAGGGGAGGGATACTTCTGCATTTTCTGGGACTATATGGATGTTCTACTTCTTTAGTTGTTTTCCTGTCTTTAGCTATGAAGGGGAGTGGAGGGGACTAGTCAAGGATAGGTTAACCTTGTAGTGTTGGACAACCATTTCTCCAATGTTCAACAAGATACAGAGTAGAACCTAGCTCAAAATTTAAGGGAACAAAGCACAATATGAAGACAAGTGATGCTGCTAATAAGCCTTTTCATCCTGTCCTGAGTCATTCATTAGACAGCTACACACCAAAGAGAAAGTCAGTGTCATCAACAAGTGACCTCAGGTTCCTGAAAAGAAACCTAGACAAATGTTACTATAGCCCATAGAACAGAGGTGTTACCTGCAGCAAAGCTAATGGAAAACCAAAATTAGTCATCTTTAGCAGCTAGTGAAACTAAGGAAGCTATGTTTTCCTTCAGTAACACTTCTGAATAAATCCTACCTCAGAATAGAGAATTGGCAAAAGGGCTAGGATTGTGGCTTAGTGATAGAGGGCTTGCCTTGCATGCATGAAGCCCTACGTTCAATTCCTCAGTACCACATACACAGAAAACGCTGAAATGGCACTATGGCTCAAGTGCTAGACTTAAGCAAAAAGAAGCTCAGGGACACTGTCCAGGCCCTGAGTTTAAGCCCCAGGACTGGCAAAAAAAAAAAAAAAAGGGGGGAGTGATGGAGGGGGGACAAAAAAGGAAGTTAATCAATCTAGAAGAATAAATGAGATGACAAGACCTGTTCTAAATGTAAGGAACAGGGACTGGAAAGGTGGCTCAGTGGTAGAGCGCTTGCCTTGCATGCTTGAGCCCCTGGGTTCGATTCCTCAGCACCACATAAGCAAAAAGAAAAAAGCCGGAAGTGGCACTGTGGCTCAAGTGGTAGAGCGCTAGCCTTGAGCTGAAGAGCTGAGGGACAGCGCCCAGGCCCAGAGTTCAGGCCCCACTACCGGACCCCCCCCAAAAAAGTAAGGAATAGTAAGTAGTAAAAACGTTTCACATTATGCCAATGGCTCACACTTCTGTAATCCTAGCTACTCAGGCTTGAGATCTGAGGATCTTGGTTCAAGGCCAGCCCAGGAAGGAAAGTCCCGGAGACTCTTATCTCCAATTAACCACCAAAAAACCCGGCTTAAGTAGTATTGTGTAAGCCTTGAGCTGAAGAGCTCAGGGACAGTGCCCAGGCCCAAAATTCAAGCCCTACAACCGACAAAAAACTGGCCCCAACAAAAGCCTTTTGGGAAGCCTGTGCCCAAAGGGCAGGTAGGACAAGTTGGTAGCGATATTAGAATAGATATGTAGTTAAGCTAGCATTCAATAGAGCCAATTATTTTGCCTGCTGGATCCCCACAACTACAGTACTCAGGAAAACGAGTTTAGATGCTACCCGCTAAGCAATACAAGTGGCATGGAATTCAGATTCCTGGAATCTTCATGACACAGCCTACTAAAAACCCAAGCGGGTCCTTTTGAATGTAGGTTCAGAAAATTTTTCGCAGGTGTATAGGGCTGGCCCAGGTGTAACCGACACTGAAAGATCAACACAACAGCTTACGATGGTCTTATTACGTAATTCTTGGGCTCCCAATTTATCAATTCGGTTTTAAGAAATTTAAGGACGAACGATAGAAACACATCAGACAACAGCAATTGTCAAACCTTTTCATTAACTGCCAAACTTTTTCATTAACACCAAGTGGAGAGGGGTGGAGTGCCAGATTCCACCTCCGACCCCGTCAATGGCACCTGTCCTGGGAACGAGCCGCTCGCTCCTCCCCGTTCAGCCGGTGAGGCGCACGTCGGGGCGGCGCCGGAGCCGCCGGGCCCGGGCCAACTCGGGCAGGATGGCCATGAGCTGCTCCTGCACCAGCATCTCCACTATCTGCTCCTTCGTGCGGATGTCGGGCCGCAGCCATTGGCGGGAGAGCTCCCGCAGCTGCCGGAACGCCTCCCGCGGGCCCGCCGCATCCTGGTAGCGGAACTGCCGGAAACGCTGACGGAACGTCTCGGGGCCAGGCCGGGAGCCGCCAGGGCGTGGCGGGGAACGAGCCCCGCCGTCGGCCTGAGGCACAGGGGCCGCAGGGCTGGGCCCACGGCGGGGCTCCCGGGCCGCCACTGCCTCCGCCACCGCGGGCTTCTCCTCAGCGGCTGCGGCGCCGGGGCTGGAGAGCGCCTGGGCAGGCGGGGAGGAGCCCGCCGAATTCAGCTCAGGGTCTGGGCTCGGGCCGGGCCCCTCCGCCGGCCGTGGCGAGGTCGCCGCGGGGTCCTCCGGGGCCGCCATGACTCCTGTCGGCGTCACTATTCGGCCACTGTGGAGTCAGCACTGCGTCTGCACGGGAGTAGGGCGATGAAAGAATGTTCCCCGCTAGGGAACCGAGTCGGCGCGACCCTCGTCTGGGGGCGGACCTAGGACTCAACCGACAGTTCGCAGGCTGCTTACCTGGGAGCGGCGAGGCTCCAACGGAGGCCGGAAGTGGGTGTCTGCGCTCCGGTCAATATGATTGCACGGCCACTGAAGCTTCCGGAAGTGGAGTTTCGGCTTCCGGAAGTGGAGCCTCGGAGAGTTGGTCGGCTGCCAGTGGTGGAGGTTAAAACCTTCGCGGAGGAGCTGTCCAGTAGCGACGAGCAGTTGAACTGGTTCGGTGATGTCGACTCCGACGAGGACTGGAATGTGGTGGTGCCGGAGGTGCCCATGGAGCCGTTGGAAGTGTTCAAACATAGAAAGGTAGACGTCTGGGTTGGAGGGAACGGGCGCCCACCAGGAATGGCGGCTGCTCGGTGAGGGGTGAGGGGTCGGGCCGCCGAGGACTCGTCCGGGGTCGCCAGATGAGCGGGGCCCGACAGCACCGGGTCTCCGGAGGACGGCCCGGCCCACAATGACCCTCTCATCTGGTCCAATGAGGAGAGCAACAGTAGCACCCATCTTATTTTGAAGAGGACAAAATGTATCCGTGTAAGCCCTAACAATTGACAGCCGCCAAGTAAATGCTCGTGAGCGCCAGGCCCCGATTTTGTGTGTCTTCTGAAACTTTGTGGAGTCTGAACTCAGGGCCTGGGCGCTGTCCCTCGGCTCTTCAGCTCAAGGCTAGTGCTCCACCACTTGAGCCATAGCGCCACTTCCTCTACCTTTTCGGATGTAGTATATACTCCATAGACTTTCAGGTAAGTTGCATATATTCCTGGATCTATCCAGAGATCCCAGATTAATGTCCTATTCTTCCAAATTTTGCAGGGGACATCAAGAGGCAAAATGAAGTTTTGGAGGAACATCAGAACTTTAGTAAGTGACTGAGAACAGAAATCTTTTTACTTCTTTTCCAATACTTTTTTTTTTTTTTTGATCTGTGGTGGGGCTTGAACTCTGGACCTGGGCACTGTCCCTCAGCTCTTCTGCTCAAGGCTAGCGCTCTACCACTTGAGCCACAGCACCACTTCTGTTTTTCTGGTGGTTTACTGGAGATGAGTCTCATGGACTTTCCTGCCCAGGCTGACATTGAACCATGATTCTCAGATCTCAGCCTCCTGAGTAGCTAGGATTACAGGCATAGCCACCGGTGCCCTGCCGCATGAGCCTTTTTCAATTTGTTTTTTTTAATTTGGAAAGAGTACCCAGTGTGTCTCTTGGTACTCTTGATCCTGTTTTCCCCAGTACACATCCTGCATAAATATAGTACAGTATCAAAACCCGGAAATTGTTGGATACTGGTAGCTCACACCTGTAATCCTAGCTACTCAAGAGGCTGAGACCTGAGGATTGCAGTTCAGAGCCATCCTGGACAAGAAAAGTCCATGAAACTCCTACTTCCAATTAACCATAAAAAGCTGGAAGTGGAGCTGTGGCTCAGTGAGAGTGCTAGCCTTGAGCTAAAGAATCAAGGACATTGTCCAGGCCTGGAATTTAAGTCCTGTTACCAGAACACACACACACAAACTCTGGAACTGATATAGGTACAACCCATAGACCTTATTAGCATTCTCCAGTTTTACATGCTAGCATTTTGTTTACATGTGCATGTATACATTGTATATATCCATATAATTTTATGTAGATTTGTGCAACTATTATGTTAATCAGCATCTAGAACTATTTGGTCACCACAAATACCCTTTGTGCTTTTTTGGGGGGTGGGGGAGGGTCAGTCATGGGGCTTGAACTCATGTCCTAAGTGTTGTCCCTGAGTTCTTTTGCTCAAGGCTAGCCCTCTATCACATTGAACACCAGCACCACTTCCAGTTTTCTGGTGGTTAATTGGAGATGAGTTTCACAGACTTTCCTGCTCTGGCTAGCTTTTAATCCTGATCCTCAGATATCAGCCTCTTGAGTAGCTAGTTATAGGTGTGAGCCACCAGTGCCTTTCCCTTATTTTTATTGCTGGTAGTTGTTCTCTTACTGTTGAGGGTGTTTGTTGCTTTTGTTATTGTTTTCTTTATCCTCTTGCCTAGGCTAGCCTTAAACCACAATCTTCAGATTTCAGCCTCCTGAGTGGTATGAACTACCAGCACCCAGCTTTTTGCATACATTTTTTTGGACATTTTAAATAAAATATACATAGCATAAAAACGATTTGAAAGTATACAGTTCAGTGGCATTAAATACATTCACCTTGTAGTATCACCATCCTCACTCTCCATCTCCATAACTTTCTTACTGTCCTACAATGAAACTCTGCCTGTTAAACCTAACTCTCCATTCATCTTCCTACTAGTCCCTATGACCACTATGTCCTTCTTATAAGTGGAATAATAAAATTTGTCCTTTTGTATCTGTCTTATTTCACTTAGAATAATGTCTTTAAGTTTTATCATGTTGTACCATTATCAGAATTTTATGCTCTTTTAACAGTAATATTCATATGTATGCATGTATATTTACATATATTCCATGCTTCTTAATTTTGCAGATTAAGCTAGCAAGTGTTCAAAATGTGAAGGAGCTGACCAAAGTAAAAAAACCTAGTATGTCATTCCATTTTAATTATCCATTAACATGTAGTGGTTATTTTTGTACATTCCTACCTTTTGGCTATTGTAGATAATATTGCTAACAATATTAGTGTATAGATACCTGTTTGAATCTCTGATTTTATTTTTTTTATTAATTTTTTTTGGGGGTCCGGTTGTGGGGCCTAAACTCTGGGCCTGGGCGCTGTCCCTCAGCTCTTCAGCTCAAGACTAGCACTCTACCACTTGAACCACAGCACCACTTCCGGCTTTTTTCTTTTTGCTTATGTGGTGCTGAGGAATCGAACCCAGGGCCTCAGGCATGCAACACAAGTGCTTTACCACTGAGCCACCTTCCCAGCCCCAATGAATCTCTGTTTTTAATTGCTTCAGATCTCTACCCAGAAGTGGAATTGCTGGATCATATAGTAATTCTATAACTTCCTTCTCTATTTTTTAAAAATATTTATTATTATTATTATTATTTTTTTGCGTCCGGTCGTGGGGCCTGAACTCTGGGCCTGGGCGCTGTCCCTCAGCTCTTCAGCTCAAGGCTAGCGCTCTACCACTTGAGCCACAGTGCCACTTCCGGC